GAGGAAGACTCTGGATGAGATGAATTAAAACAATAACTGAGGCAATGGGATTAGGTTTGTTGGAGTCAGTGAGATGGCTCAGGACAGGGCAGGCTTCAGAGCTCTTGTACACAGTTGCTATGAGTCACAGGCAACTTGACGGCACATAACCAAAACAGGTGCATACCAGGAACTATTTGAACTATTTTACATGCATTAATTCATTCAATCCCTACAATTCTCAATGGGCACTCTCTGAAACACAATTTAATAGTGGAGGAAATGAAGCCACGATGGTGAGTGGGTAAGGTTCTTCAGGAGTAAGTGACATAATCTGATTTTGAACCCAAGAGTGCTGGTGTCAAAGCTCATTCAAATTATGGTTCTCTTCACCTTGTAAAATAGACTTAGAACAGTGTTTAGCACTGAGGGATATTAGGTAACATCAAAGGCAATCATGCACAGTTCTTTGTAAAGAAATAATATAAAAATATTGGTAATAATTTTGCATTGCGCTATAAACAAAAAGAGTGACAATTTGTTCCTTTAGGTAAATAGATTGAAAACATGACAAGTCCTGATTAATGTTACATTTATTTAACATTTGAAAGTTTTTATATATAAAAAACATTTTATAGTAAACTCCTAGCCCTCATTGCATGTATATTTTTAAAAAATAATTTTGACATGTTTGGTTAAAAAAACCCAGCCAGTTATAACTTTGGGATTTCTAAAATATGCTTTTGATTAAGAATGACAATCAACCCTAAAATTTTATCAGGTATTTTTGCATTTGCCTTATTGTACAATTATAGGGAAAGTTTCTTAAGCTTTCAGTTATTGAGTCGGTGGATGACAGATCCTTAACTGGGGCTGAAGGCCGTGAACCTGAGGAGTTATCAGCGGGACCTGATGCCACACACTCAATGCAGAAGAAGAATCAGGCCACAGATGCTCCCACGGGCTCTTGAGTTTGGGGCTTAGACTCTTTCCATGCTACACCACCTCCAGGATATCACTTTGGTGCCGTGCTTGAAATTCCACTACCGTTATCTGGACATTATTACTTTAAGCTCTCTAACTTACTGCCGTCAAGTCAGAACTGACCCACCAGGTTCGAGAGGCTGGACGCCACACCAGGAGACATCTCATCTTTCTCCCTTAGAGTGCTGGTGGGTGGGAACCAGGAGTGAAGAGTAAACTCCGGTTAGCCGGGCAACTCCCTACAAACTATGCCATCCGAATTTGGAGTTGACTTAGACTGATTCGATTCACTGTTTTATTTATTCCTTAATTTAATCAACCCTCCATACTTTGGTGCATGGAATTAGTTTTCTAACACTTCTGTGTAATGTCTTTAATATTTTTGTACTTTCTTGCATTTCACTGTATGTTTGCGTGGAAAAGAGTTGGTCTCTAATAAACCTCAATACAATATCCCGTTGACCATTATGGAAGGTATTTGAAAAAGGTTTCCAAGTCCTTTGCTCATGTCTTAACCTACCTGGAAATTTAGAATTTGCTGAAGTCTTTCCTTCATTTGGTGACATCGCTGGTTCACTACTGAATCCAACAGCGACAATCGGTCCACCAGGCATCCAAGTGTGTCCTCAATCACGCCCCGGTTATCTCCGTTTTCTGGGAACGCTTGGGAAAACAAGCTCTTGTTCTTATCCATTTCTTCAGACATTTCCTTAATATCTTTGGCAAGAGTCTAGGGGTGACAAGAAAGAAAACTCATTTCCATGTATAAATTCATACATTTAGATACAAATTCATAAATTTAGATGCAAATTCAATTATTTCTTCATGAAACGGTACTTAGTGTTCAGGACAATTATGTACAAATCAAGTTGATGATCTTGCTTTACTTCTATACATTTAATGGAACTTGTGGATGCAGAAATTTCCTCAGGGATTTGACACTGATTAATATTGCCATGCATGTCTTCACTAAATGAGCTTTAGAAAGTGCAATTTAAGAATTTAGTTTATTAATTGTCTTGGCCTGTGTTTTATTCATGGAAGATGTGTTATTTACAAGAGTGTTGCTACAAAAAACACTCTCTGCTAATTCCTCCTCCTCATAAACATGTAAGAACAAGAATAAAATGCAAGACACAAAACTCATTGAGAACTATCTATATTTAAGTAACTTTACTGCACGTCAAAATACGTGGGCACACCACTAACATACTGTATGTTATTACTCTGTTTCTTGCTTTATCTTCTTTATCTATAAAATTAGTAATAATCTCATATCCAAATATCAAGTCTGCTGCACTGTTACACATTCACAAACACCAGATAGTAAACTTACTTCTTTTTAAAAAATTCTTTTTAATTGTGATTTTAATGAAAGTTTACTGAAACGTTGAATCCTCATTCATTCATTGTTTCACATTTTCCTCCCTACCCTCCAGTTCACTTAAAAAAAAAATTCATTCAATGTTGCATAATTCCACCCCAAGTCCACTTCACTATGCTGCTCTTACTCAGATCTATTGTCATACAAATGATGCCTAATCATATATTCCTTTTAAACAGTTCTTTTCTTAATCTGTTCCAATGCAACCTTCATTATTTATCCCCTCTTAGTTTCTCCCCATGTCAGTCCTGTTTTACAACAGTGGCATTATGCAGTATTTGTCATTTTGTGACTGAAATATTTCACTCAGCATAATATCCTCCAAGGTCACCCATTTTGTGTAATATTTTATGAGTCCCTTATTCTTCAGTGTTGCATAGTATTCCATTATATGACTATACCATTGTTTTTCTATCCATTAATTTGTTAATGGGCACTTGGGTTGCTTCCATCTCTTTGCTATTGTGAATAATGCAGCAGCTCTGGTTTCTTTAGAGTATATTCCCAGGAGTGGAATTGTTGGATCAAAAGGCATTTCTATTTCCAACTTTTTGGGAAAGCACCAGACCACCTTCCACAGTGGTTGCACCATTTTATACTCCCACCAGCAATGAATAAAGGCCCTAATGTCTCTACAACCTCTCCAGCATTTGTTGTTTGCCAGACTTACCTCTTGACTGAAGAGGCAAGTTTCTGTTTCTTCTGGCAACAGGGCTGTGGCAACAAACAAACGTTCTTCTACATCATCCAACCAAGTGGAAGTAGCTGAGACCCCATCATACAACTTCTGCTCCAAGTGGATGCTCTGCCTTTTTGTCCCTCCACCCTGGAAGGAAAAACAGAGAGAGAGAGAGAGAGAGAGAGAGAGATAAAGAGTCAGTCATACATGTTGAAAACTCAAAAAGAACATGAAAACGTTCCAACTGCACTGGCTCAGCTTTTGTGGGACTAATCACTAGTATGGAGTGGGACCACTTTACAGAAACCAAGATCCCGAACAAGCAAGAAGCACAGGCCTACCTGGGAGGAAACCTCTTCGAAGGCCTGGTTCAGTCCATCCAGCAGAGACGTGACGGCAGCCTTGTCCTGCACCTGCCCTTCCCCTTTGTACCGGGGCCCACCAGGCAGCAGCCTGTTCGGCCTGCTGTAAAGCTGCAGGAAGACAGGAGCAGGTGAGTTAAGAGCATAAAGACCGCATCTCTTGCCTCTGATACGAGAGTGTGCAGTGGAGCAGATGCTGGAACACTGTGCTCAGAAAAATCTCTGAGGGATTATCTTTCTACATCACACCGTGTCCACTGAACACGCTCACCAGTGGTAATGCTTCCTCAGATGCACTAACACGAAAACTGAGGGAAAGTGAGAAACTGCCTAACGCCTTCTCCTAGCCCCTTTCTCAGCTTGTCATCCTGCAATGATCTGTCCACATGTTGAATGTGGAGTGACCTCTTTGGTTTCCTTATCCAGCTGAACATCTCTCAACTCCTCTGGGCATGCCCAGTAAGAACAACAATAGGACTTAGCATTCAAGCTTTTTGATAATATTTCTAATTTCAAACTCAGTATCTTCTGATTTCTCACAGCACTCCATCTTCCACTTCCAAGGTGATAGGCTGTTCTTCTCCAAACATGTCAATGAGCTCTTGTGGCAAACTGTGTTACTTGCTGCACCGCTAACCGAAAGGTGAGTGTTTTGAATCCCCTCAGTGCTCCGTGGGAAAAAGATGGTGAGAGTCTCATTCCACAGAGATTTACAGGCTCAGAAACCCTAAAGAGGTTTCTTATGACTCAGCACCAACTGAACACCAGGCTCCTTCCTCCCTGCAGCTGCCCGCTGCACAACAGCTCTTTAACATACATGGCCACATACAGGCAACAATTTGTAAAATAATATATTCTTTTGCTATATTGATATAAATGATATCAATATAATTTAATAACAGATTATAAAGTGCCTAAATTTCTTACAGAATATTTTTCTTCTTACACTCCTTCTCTCCAAGATAAGCATAACTATCTGATACGTTAAGTATAATCATGATGGCAAACTTTTTGTAGATCAGATTATTGACATTTTGTAAATAAAATGGCATTTTCATTTAAAAAAATGAATGTAAAAACAAACAAACAAATAAAGAAACAAACAAACAAAAAAATAAAATGGCCACAGCTTCCCAACAACTGTGGTGACTTTTCAATGATTTTGCACTTCACGATTTGTGCTTACAGAACCTGCCATGACTGCTTACTTTCTCACAAATGGATGAGATAGTTTTTGGCTGGATCATGTCTTATCCTGAGTTCGAGAGTGTGTTGTGCACAGAGGATTAAGCTAACTAGCAGGAAGTAGATAAAGAGGAGGTGTCCGGAGAGAACGGCCTTTGATCTAGTCAACTGTGTTGTTGTTATTGTTGTTGTGTACAACTGAGTTGGAATCCACCCGTAGCTGACCCTTCACCAGGTTTTCAGAGACAGTTAATCGCATGGGGTGGGTTTGGATGTGGGGGAACTGCCCATCTTTCTCCCATAGAGCAGCTGGTGGATAAAAGCTGTATGCCTTCTGGATTGCAGGTCAGCCTTTTACCATTAAGCTATCAGAGCTCCCTTCAAACTCATTGCTGTGGAGTCCGAACTGACTCATAAACTCATCCTCTACTTGGTTTCTGAGGTTATAAACTGTAGGGGAGGAGACTGCCCACCTTTCTCCTGTGGAGCAGCTGGTGGATTCTAACCACACACCTTCGGGCTGTCAGCACAAGTCCTCACCTCGAAGCCACTAGTCAACTTCAGAAAAAAATTTAAGAGTGTTTGTTTTTACACTCATGTGTGGTAAGTGGGACCAGCGCACAGAATCAACAGTAAAATAACACAGTAAACCGGGGCCAGATCAGAATCCAGCTTTTTTCACGTCTCCTAACCCAGGAGATGCTGCGACGGCATCTAACCTCTCCTAGCCTCAGTCTACAGGTCTGTAAAGTGGAGATTATGCTGACATCCAAACAGCCCATTGCTGTTGAACGTACTCTGACTCACGGTGACCCTGTAAGACAGGGAAGGACTGTCCTACAGTGTTGTCACAGTGGGATGGGACCAGATTGTCACATCTTTCTCCAATAGGCTGGCTAGAGCGTAATAACTGCCAGCCTTTCCGTTAACAGCCAAGCACCTTAGCTACCACGCACCTGGCGCACTTTGTAAACACACAGGACATAACACTTCTTAAAAGGTGCACTTCCTTTCTTCTTGGTAACCAACGATCACTTCTCCCCTACCCTTCCCCACCTTTTCACCCCGCTGAGAGGTGTTGTTGCTGGGGTTAGGTTTTCAGAGGCAGTGAATCACATGGGAGGAGACTTCCCATCCTTCTCTCACAGAGCAGCTGATGGATCCGAACCACATGCCATCAACCTGCTACCACTAGACCATAGGAGCTCCCTCTGTACAAGTGACCAATGATG